TTTATATGACACACATGTCAGACCTTTATACTGAAATATGCTGGAAAATGAGCAAAGACACACAGCTCGTGCACACTCTGTATATCTGTGCCTTTGCTTCCAAGGCTCAGGACTCCTGTGCATCAGCTGAGCAGGCAGCAGCCGTCTCCTACAAGCACACATTCTGAAAGCCTGACTCACATGCTACTTAAGATTTTTCATTCAGCCTATTGAATACAATTAAGTTAATTGAAACTGAAATTTTGGGCAGTGCAAAACCCACTGTTGGAACAAATATCCCATGTACCAAAAATCTGCAATTTATTAAATTAAGCACTTCCCTTAGAGACTGCCTTCTTTCCTGTGAGTACAACAGAACGCTGCTTGTGCCACATTACACCCAAGAATAAAACAAGCAGGAAGCATGAAAGGGTTTCATGCAATAAGAGAGAGTTCTCTACGAGGGTAAAAACCAACAAAAAATTCCCCCCCAAAACCAAACCAGAAGCCTTGCTAATTGAAAATCTGTGCACAATGGGGCAGACACCATAGTGATGAATGCAGCATGACTGTCTCACTAGATACCAGGCAGAGAATTAAAGCTGCTTGTGTTCCTCTCGTGTGAGTTAAAGAGAAAATTATTTGCAAAAGGAATTCTGTGCAGGATTTGGCTCACAAGCAAATAGAGGTGGAAGAGTTAACTATTTCAATAAACCATATTTCTGATCTTAATGCCTCTTAGAGAATTCTTTTCTGAACCCACTTCAGTTTGGAGAATTTTGCCAAAGAAAGCAGAATTAGACATAAATGAGGAGTCACCGCCCACCTCCCTCCTTGCCTGCCTCCATAGCCTTTATTTGGAGCTTCCTTACTAGCCACATTCCTGCTCTGAGAGCCCTCAACCCTTCTTTAGGTGACTGGTGACACCTTTGCATGCCACAGAAGTGTTATTTCCCTCTTTCTTATTGCAGAATCCTGGACTTGCTTGCAGTTGCACCAGAAGTTGGGGCCTCATCCAGCATCAATCCTATGTTTCCCTATGCTTCAACTCACTTCTGCAGCCAAGGGGCAACCAAATCCCTTGAAAAAGAAGGATCAGTTTAGTTCATTTCTTCATAAATTTCACTACCTCTGAGGCTGGTGGAGTTTTCTCCTCCTTGGGCTGTTACTTCCTTTAATCCAAAAAGACGCGGTTGGCACCAGCCGAGCTGGGTAAGCACTGCTTTCCCATCTGTGGGCTGGGAAGCCAATGCTCTCACACAGAGCTACTCAGGGCAGCAGGAAGGGAGCAGTGCTCTTTGGGAAGAAAGTTACAAGCAGCCTGAACACGCTGGGTGTTTTTACCCAGCTCTCCTTCTATCTGGCACCACAATGGTTTCATTTACAACGCCTCAGGTTCAGGGATATTTCCAGTTTTGGAGGCTGTTCAGGGAAACAAGCACTGGCCACTCGCCCAAACATTTTACTAGTTTTGGCTATTATGTCAAAACATTGGCAAAAAAGGATACTTTAAAAAAAAAGAGGAAGATATAAACAGAAATACTCCTTCAGTCTATAGGGCTTGCAGTCCACTGGGCACTCCCAAGGAGGGAAGTGCCCATTGATCCAATGATTGAGACTGTCTGGACTCTTACAAAGAGCCTCATAAACTGTCCTGACTGCAACTCCATGAGCCTATAGCTAAGAGGGATGCTGAACAAGTGGGGAGAGGAGGAAGAGTATGTTAATTTTCCTTACGCAGAACAGGATTCAAATGACCTATTTTTCAGCTTGGATTTTTGAAAAGCACAGATCACTTCAGCAACTCCAGATTTGCTAAAAAAACTTTTCAGAGGAGTACAAGGTAAATCCAAGAGAGCATTTTCATGCATTTCCTTTAAAATACTTTTCTTAGTCTTTTTTTTCTGTAACCACCCCTACCTAACCATTTATCAGAACACTACAACCTGTAATAAGTAAGCTCTGGTTCTTACAGCTTTTTGGTTGCAATCGAATGCTGTATTAGTAGACATCATACTGCAAGAGGGATATAGTACAAGGAAACTGCCCTGCAGAGAGCCTAAGAGGGTGTTATTCCAACAGACACCATTCTTATCATCGCTGAGCAGGTTGTAGGTAACACCATCTCAGACAAACATGGTAGTGTGCACCACCATTTCAAATATTTTGAAGGTTGTGCAGGAATTTCTTACTCATTGGAAAGTGTCATTAAAACCACCTTCAATAACTACATTGTCTCTGTGGGTGTGCTTCTACCTGTCCCCTATGCTGAATAAATAGGCATTTAGATTCCACAGTAGCATGAGTCAAAATTATGACACTGAATCTCTAAAGATAAAATAAGAAGAGGCAGAGATTAGCCTTGGGCACTTACTAAAAATCAGTTGTATACAGTTTGAGGGTCCTTCACACCCAGTTTCAAATAAATAGGACAATGTTCACTTCGGAACTTTCTGTTTGAAAGAAACCCTCTTCATGGCTAACACGGCCTGGGCCAGCTCCTAGCCAAGCACCCCATGCAGCTCTCCTGTGCACACAGCAGGTACTAAACTGCCTGATGTTCAGTGCCCATCTCAGAGTGGGACCTCAGTGGGAGCACTGTGCCCCAGGAAATGCACAGAACTTGTCACAGAGCCTGAAGTGCTTTGTTTCCTTATGTGCAGAGCACCTGGGCACAGGTATAAGCTGATATGTGGTGTAGTCTTCAGTTATATATTTCCATCTTGAAGAGAAAGATTCGGATGTTTCACAAACCATACAACTGGCTCTCTCTTTCTTCTGATCCTCCTCACATTCTTCTTCCCACACACACGTGCATACATACAAGTGTCAGCCATTTGTTCCGATGGATTTAGCCTAGTTTGGATCAAAGCGTCCTCTACTTCATTTAACAGATTTGCTCAGATGGAAGGTCTCAGGGGAGAAATAATGTTAGTAAGAGGGGGCTTTTCAGCATTGAGTATGTAGGTCATTGGACTTTAAAATAAATTAGAGAATAGTTTATCTATTAAACAAGCCTCACAGTACATATTTCATGAAGCTATACTTAATTATAGGCTAATGTGCACCACAGAGCTACCACAAAGAGAGATTAAGCAGTGGCCCATAATGTGGTGATTAATACAATTATTAGCTGGCTGGCATACAGCATCTATTATTTGGTACCATCACGAGAAACAACAGACCTCCAGTTCCTAATGCTGGCACTTCTGTGGAATGCAACAAACCCAAACATTTCCAGGGAGAAACACACACCTCCCTGTACCTCGCAGACAGCAGGAGGGATGCAGGAAGGTGAGAGCAGACTTGAACTTCCACTTCAAGTGCATTTTACAGAGTTTGCTTCTCCACCATGGATGCGTGGGAATATCCCACACCTTCTATGCTGCAGTGCAACACTGATTGAGCACCTCTTCTTAATACCCTGAACAGCCCCTGATGTGAGAGGAGCTTGTTCTGAGTTGGAATTAAAAGCTGTGGACAAGGAAACATAAGCTAGTATCTATACTCTCTTGCTACAGTGGTGGCTGCTAAGGACATGATGAACTCACTGTATGTAAGATCATTGGTCTTCTATATTAAAGCCCTGTAGACTAACGAAACACAGTTGTGAGATGAGCAAATCTTTTATGATGCTGTAAGACTTGCCTGCTCTGGAATCAGTGTCGTGAACCGTTCAGTACATCATATTACTTACGACTGAGGGCTAAGAAGCAGGTAATTTCTTTCTTGTTGGGGAATGAGCTTTTGGTTTAATAGCAGACTTGGGCATTACCAACCTGGGTCTCCCAGTCTGAGTGAAGGAGAGCTTCTTGTTCAGTGATAGTGGCAAAACCCTCAACGGCAATGTTACTGTTGACCTCTCACTCAAGTTCAGAATATGTCATTCTGTCAATACCATCTACCTTGATTATACCAGGCTTTATATACAATGGGTTATGATCCCAGAGGGATGAAAAGCTTTTCCAAATTAACAGCAGCATTTTAAAGAGGAAATACTCATACATTCCTATGTAGTTTTCATTTGATATCCTCAAGGCTAACCCCAGAACTCAAAGTCACGTTGATTGGAAGTGAATGTTTTTTCTGACTGCAGCCATCTTATGAATTTAATGGAAGAAGGGAAGTCATAAAATGTGCTCCATACTTTAATTAGTTCCCTCATAACATGGCATTTCCAAAATGGCAGTGCCAAAGAAAATCATTAATCTAGCAGAACAGACAAAGGCACTGTATGGGGCAAGGGACAGACCTCCAAGAGACACACACACACACTTCTTTTTTCTTGCTGGTAATTCTTACCTCAAAGAACAACTCCAACTAAACAAAAGGAATTTGTACCAACATTAAATATTAAGCCACTTTCCATTTCTTAAGCCTTGCTACAGAGTATCACAACTGAGAGATCATGTGTTGCATGCCTTGAACAGCAGCAGGATAAATGTAAATGGCCTGTCTTTCTGAACACACATCCTGGGTACTCCAGATGCCAGGCTTAAGCTCAAGCAAACACAATACGCTACAAATGGCAGATACCTTTCCCAGCAGTCAGTCTTTAGGCCTATGCACACTTGCCTTACACGCTTCTTATGGGAGCAGCCTCTGGCACTAGTTGTGGCATCAGTTGTACCACAGGAAGGAACTGAGGAAGTGACAGAAGCCCAAAGACACCTCTGACCCTCAGAGTCTCTTGTAACCTCTTCCTGACTGTCAGGCAGGGGCAGATGTGGAAGTTTATAACCACAGAGAGGAACTCGGGGAAGAACTCACATGAGCAGAATGACTGCTAGAGAACAAAGCTCAGGTAACAGCACAGGAGTGGCCAAACGCAAACAAACAGCTGTTCCAGGAAGAAACAGCCTTGTTCGATACCGACAAAGAGACTGGGGGAAAAAAAGGAGAGTGGTTTGACCTGTTTCTATGGCACAACCCCTGCCTTGATCTGCAACAACCATACAGCCCCACAAGAGCCACAGTTTTGCCCCTTCAGCACTTCTTGGTTATAGAATAGAAATTGATACCTGTGTGCGGTTGAATGCTACTCTTGCAAAGACAGCTTGAGACACACTGGCTCTCTTCAGCTCATCTCTGACTTGCTGGTAAATATCTGGAGAGACTTCCACCGATGAATTTGATGGCTCTGGTTTGACAGCTCTAGGGATGGGCGGATGATTCAAGAACTGCTGGTTGATAGCCTGTGGGTGCTGGTGAGCCAACAGCCGGCTGACAGCAATCTGTTGGTTTATCAGATGGGCCATTGCTATCTGCTGCCTCACCAGTTGTGGACTGAGCTGAGGAGACAGGAGCCCAGGATTTATCATTGTTTGCATCGTTGGCACTTGGTTTCGTATTGGAGTACTGTGGTGAATTTGGCCATGAGGAGACTGTTCGTTAGTTTTTCCCAAAGTTGCCAGCTGGTTGATATTTGGTAAGTGCATGGGACGTTGACCAAGAACACAATAGTCTGAAAGGTTTTCTCTTTCCACTCTTTCCACTGTTAAAAGAGAAAAATTTGCTTGCTGTCATTTCAGTTTGCACTTAGGGCAAGGATTATTGCAGGTGACTACACAACAGCACCTGCTTTACTTTGTAAGTCTACACTTGCATAGAAGTTTCACAGAAACATAAGCAAAAGCAACACAAAGTAAAAGTCACAACATTAACATTCTTTTGGACTTCTCAGGCTTCATCAACTCCTCAGGAAGCCTCCTTATAAATCAGTAGCAGGTATCCTCTCCAGCCTCATTTCCTAAAGAAGCAAGCTTGGACGCTTCCACTGATACTGTCACTAACATTTGAATCAGTCACAGAAAATTGAGTAACTTTTAAAAGTGATCAATGTTTCAGAATCACTGGCATCTAGGTAAAGGAAAGAAACTCAAATTAGCATCCACTCACACAAACCCCATGGAAACTGGACCATTCCCTGAGCAGATCATGGAACAGCTTCTCATTATAAACTCTGCAACTATTATCTTTTCCAACAAAAACTCGACGTTGCACTGTGTGTGGATAAAGCTATCTGGTAGCCTCAGTTCACCCAGGTGCACTACATCAGACTCATGTTGGTTAGGTGAAAGCATATTATAAAACCGTGCAATTCACACATGAGAAATATCTAAAGCAATGGTTCCTAGAGCCAAAGCTTCATCACTGTGAGTCTGTCCAGAAACCTTAAAGCACCTTTGCATGAATGCCCACTTAAGAGGAAGTGGTTTCACTCTCTTCAAAAAAACTTTGTTTAGCACAACAGAGACCTGCGATCCCTAAGTGGCACAATGATAAAAAAAATGAAACACAAAATGCATATACTGTAATTTTATATACTGATATGTATTGTCTCTGTTAAATGTGTTATATCCACAATATCACAGTATCTTTTCATGTTACTGCAAAACTAAATGCACATATTACAAACACAAATTTCCTCTAGAAGCACTATTTAAAATAGGAAACGAAGATTATAAAGTACATAACTCCTACTCAGATAATTTTAAGTAATCAGAAGTCATTTTACAGTTGGTTGCAGATTCCATGAGCCTCACTACATGCAATTGGATAGGCACTTACATATTGATGTGATATAAAAGTGTTCAGGGATGTATATCATACAACTAGAAAACAGCTACCTCATCTCTGTATTGCTCTCAGCAAATAATAAGATAGGATTTTCTTCCATAAATGCCATAATACTATTATGACTTGTGTAATTATTAACAACTGTACCAAGCTTTGAACCCTTTTAAAAAACTTAATCTATATAAAGCTTTGAAGCTTTACACAGTTAATACTGAGAACAACAGTTTACTGATGACTTGCTCTGTTTCCTTCTAAATAGAAAGACAGCTCTTTTCACGATCCAGAGTTAATCTGAGACAGAGAGGGAGTAATGCCTTGAACACACACAAACACACAGTTACTATCTTTAGAACTGTCACTCTGGAACATCACAAGTACTGAATTTTACAACTAGGTGAATTATGCCCAGGATTTCCTTGTAAGAAATTTCAGCTCACTCGTCTCATTCTGTTAAAGGAAAACCCCATAACATTTTTAATCTTCTATAAAATAATTGCTTTTAAAAAACTTCTAAAATAAAAATTAATTTGTAAGAAAACTATTAATTCAATTTTTTCACAAAAGCCAATGCTTCAAGCTGACTAAATTTCTAAGTGCATGCTTACTCGTGCAGTGTATTTCAACTATGAAATGCAATGCAATGCGTGTGATACACAAACACTATAGTCAGCAAATTACTATTTTGCTGTGTTACACACAGGCTGTCAGATACACAATGCAGTATTTCAGTTTGCTGAAAATACTGAAAATTCCTATTCAGAAGCTGCTCCTCTTGATATTCTGTAGGCATCCCTGCAATCAGGTACAGAAAGCTCTATACCTCTAGTCTCTGGCATCAGGAACAGACATGAACTCAATGTCAAGTATGAAATACAAGCAGTGCTAATTCCAGGGATCGTCATTGACCCGGCATTGATACAGAGATGTCACGTGTGGGCAGGGGAGTGGGGAAGAGCGCTGCTTTTTCACAGCCCCAGACCACGTTCTGTGACACGGACAACTCAGAACCCACGTGGCCATACTATTGCCTCCTCAGCCTGTAGTAAGCCTGCACCTGAGTAAGGCCATTACGTACACACAGTTGCCAGCAAAACCAAATGTAACTATTCCAAAGGTGTACTTGGCAGGTGTAAGTACAATAAAGATGTTGCTCAGTGTACATGAAATAGTTGGAGCACCATGCTATATCCATTTACACCTCTAGAAATCTAGAATCCTTCTGCTAGGAGTTTTAGAAGAGCTGAAATAAATTCTGAACTATTTGTAGTTTAAGAAGCACACAGAGGACAAGTTACCGAAACCAACAAATTACTACTTGTTAGAACACAAAAACAGTAACCAAGTGTTTTTGAAAACTTGGTGAGAAATAAATATAAATAACATTCACTTTCTGGGCTGAACCATATTTGCCAAGTTTCCACCCACTCCTGACTTCAGTGCCAAGTTATAAACCCCTAAAAACTAAAGTTTAAGATGAAAAGGCTGCCAGGCTGTTAATCTCTGAAGTGCTACTTGGAATTACATAGAGACATCACCTGACTTGCTTCCATTTTTCCCTTATTATCAGTTTCCTTTTTCGATCACATTAGACTATGTAGCCATGCATGTACTCCCTATAAACAAACCAGATTCTAGTCACTCCAACCACTTCAATAATAAAAGGTTACCATTAGCAGTTACGCTGGACGGAAAAAATGTGCATTACTCAACTCCTCAAGACTCTTTCCTTCTCTAACGCATTGCCCATATCTGATTCCCTGTTGTTCTTTGGTAACTATGGATTGGTAGGGTTCTACAGAGCTGAACAGGAGCAAGACTGAGACAACCTCAAGATGGAGACTGGCACTGTCCTGTGAGAAAGACCAGCTTGACAGCAATGCTCTAAGAAAAAAGAGATGTAGGGGCCACAAAGCTGCTGTGACATCAACATTCTGCCTCAGATCTTCCTGAGACAGGACTTTTCCATTTGCATCCTCCATTTTTCAATTCATACCTGATTAGAGCCTTTTCCTTTTCCTTCCCTTGTTTACTATTGTTCCACTCAAACTAGGGATATATTTATAGCTCTTGTAGTCCTGCATGAACTGGCTGGTACTTGAATATATTGATTGGAATATAAAGCAGTGAGAACAGACCAAAAGGACCTTAAACTGGGAAGGAAGGGGTTCCATGGATGTCTACATTCAAGTACTGCTGATAAACTACTTCTGCTAGTGATGCCTGTGCTAGTTAAACAAAAGCTGGTTCAGGAGGCTGTTACCTACCTCCATCTGTGGTGTGACCACAGCAAAAGACATTGCAGTGTTTTCTCATTGCATCGCATGCTTGGTATACAGTTTTGCAGTTCTTTGCTTGAAGAGCTCACGTACACCAAGTACAACAGTACTGTCATATTGCAGAGCCCCCACCCTTCTGAAGCAGATCACTAGGTAGGCAGAGACCTGTGTCTGAATAACAGGTACTGTGCTAAGCTCAGCAATCAGCTCCCAGAGCACCCCAGGATAGCATCTGTCCTTTATTTTTCTATACTTCCCTACAATGTCACTACCTCTACAAGACAGTCAGAAACCAACATAATCCCCAGAATGGGAGCAGCAAATTGTTGTATTTCAATGTTCCGTTCTGGTCCTGTAATGATTGCCATGTGCGTCAATGTATTTCAACTCCATACTGAGTTAAAACTTCCTGAATACAGCACAAAAGGAATTCAGTGCACCCTTCCCCTGTGTGATGCTCTTAACCTCTACCCCAATCTTCCTTGCATAGTCAAGCAGCTGACGCAGTCCACAGCACAATAGCTTGGGGTGGTCTGCATGCAACTTTCCATTTAAAATAAAACCAGCTCAAAAGATTTAAAATAAGATTTATTTCTCCACCTTCCCTTCCCCTCACACTTTATTTGCACTGAGTTGTTAATAGGAACATTCTGACAAACAGCCCGTGGGGCATTTAGGGCTTAAGAGTGGCACTGAATTGACTGACAGCACTGGAAACCAAATTCCTGTGCACAATAAGGGATGCAGCAGGGAGAGCAAGAGCGTAACGTGTCTCCCAGCACTGCACTGCAGCGGGGACACAGAGGACCCGCCAGCGTTCATGACCCAGCACGGCCGGAACTTTTCAGTCCTGCAGGCATACAGGCACTTTGCCCCAGAGTAGGAAGAAGCTGGTAAAGAAACGTTTTGTAATAAGTTACTAGCCGGCAGAATTGCCATGCCTCAATTGTGACAGGATGTCACCACCCAGGGCTGTTCTCCAGTGCTTCAGAGTTTGCTTCTTTGTTTTATTTATTATTTAAAACCTGGTGATCATAAAAGCCATTTCTAGCAGTGGTCATGGCTGAGCTGGGAGAGCTCTGTGAACTCTGGTATACCCTACTAAGTCTGAGACAAAAAGGTTCTCACAATTTCTTCTGGCTTAGCATCATCCTGCTCACTGGAGTAAGACCTGGACTTTGGAGCCGTGCTTGGGGGGCAAAGCGTTCTCCAGCACAGTACCACTCTCTGCCTTGGAGAGACAGGGCCGTGCACTATACCCAGAGGGTGCCCTCTTGCTTATGCTACACAATAATGAACTACCACTTTGTAAATAACAGAAACACTCCAGAGCACAGGAGGTGCTTTTAAAGTCGTAATTCTGTATCTTTTCATCTATAATTAGGATAATTACTTATTTCTTTTAATCACAGCTCACTTAACCACTTCAGTGCAGAGGGCTGGTCTGAGGAGTCTCATTTTCATTCAACATCTAATCTTCATATTTACCCGAAGTCATTCACTGACTTCACTGCCTGATCCCTGCCCGGGTCATTTGTTCCTGCAGTCAAAACGGGAGAAAAAGCAGGTTGACGGGAGAGGCAGACTTGACAAGAAGTTGTAACTTTTAAAACCTTTCCCTTCCTCTACTCCTGAGGGA